AGCAAAAGATAAAAAGTGTGAGACCTTCTCTAATACTAATTGAAAGTACAAGAGGGAGTGAATTGTTGATTTTTCTTCTTTGTATTCTAAGTAGTTGACTAGTTTACCAATTAGTCGACTAAAGATAAGAACATAATAGAAATAACGCAGAAATAAAGTGCAGGAATTAAAGATACCATAATTTTTATACTGGTTCGGATTCAACGTGAATCATACATCCAGTCCCCTTGGGTTGCAATGGTGCTCTCTTTCGGTATTAGAAGTTTCTCGATTACAAGATAGTTAATATAGCTTTACACCAACAACTTAGTCACTATGTCACTTCTCTCTTCTTAATACAATATCTCACCAGTGCTTATCTCTTTTTCTTCTCTCACTAATTACATAACAAATCTAAAGAGAACTACAATGCTTGTTGTAGAATAGAAAGAGTGATAGTGATTCGTTCAAAGTATATTTGCTTCAAGCCTGAAACATATGTATATACATACTTTGTGAGGCCTTCTTGAATCTTGATTGACGTGAATCTTGAGAGATTGCAAACCCAAGGGAGTTGATCCTTGAAAGGAATCATAAATTGATTTTTTCTAAGAATAAGGTGAAGTTTCCGTTTATCTTCCTTGACTTGTGGCCTTGACAGGCTTTTCTTCCGCTAGGCAGATCTTTCCGTTACTCGAGTGATCAACGATGGATCCCTTGATTCCGGGATTTAACGATCTCCAGTGCACAGCTTTGCAATCTTGTTTTCCTTTGATTTAGGACCTTCCTATAAGAGCTTCCATCAATCATGTATCAAATCACTGATTAATTCTTCTTCCGGATCTCCGTTGCTTCTTTCTTTTTCATCTCTAATCATTGATACTTTTCCTTTCCTTTGCTTCTAGAGTTTCCATCATTATTCTTCCTTACTTGATCTCATTGATAAATTATTTCCTTAATCCATACTTGAATGATAGGACTTCTTGATTCCTTTATTTTATCCCTTGAGATTGTGCACCAATAGTGATATATTATTTTTCATCATTGAAACTTATATTTAATACTTCTCAAAAATATATTTTTGGAGAGTTACAGTTTATATTTGGCCAACAACAATAACAACTCAGTATAATCCCACTAGTAAGGTCTGGAGAGGATAGTTTGTACGCAGACCTTACCCCTACCCTAGGGTAGAGAGACTGTTTTCGATAGACCCTCGGCTCCCTTCCTCCAAGAACTCTCCACCTTGCTCTTGGGGTGACTCGAACTCACAACCTCTTGGTTGGAAGTGGACGGTGCTTACCACTAGAGCAATACACTCTTGTCACAGTTTGTATTTGGCCAATTCATTTGAAAAGTACTTTTTGCAATATTTGATAAGCAAAATGTATATGGCCAATTTATTCAAAAAGTATATTTTAATGTCAAATTATGAAAAGGAGCAGTAAATGTTCAATTTACAATTAGTATATTAATTGTAGAGAGATATGAATTTAAATATTTATTTAAAAAAAATTAATTATTTTTTTCATTTTATTTAATTAGAATATAAAACATAAATATATATTAAAAATTTTAATCAATATAAAATATAATTATACATATTAATAGTATTAGATATCCAGTATTACTTATTGTTTACATGATGATTTAAATATAACAAAATATAATCATTCAATATAAATTAAAAATCTGCTCCATTAATCCTATATAAAAGAAGAGCTATATTTATAGTGGAGAGACTATTTCAAAGAAGAATATGAGAAGGAGAATAAAAATATGATAGAAATAAAAAAAAGAAGAAAAAAAAGAAAGGAATGGTAGAAACCAAAAAAAGTCAAATTAATAAAGGATAATTTAAAAAATATAAATTTATTGTAAGGATACTTTTGTCTTAAAACAATTAGTTTTCAACTCTTGTTGCTCCTCAAAAGCACTACCTCATCTTGGCCGAGCACATTAAATTTCTAAAAAGGTACTTTTTCTAATTAAAAAAGTACTTTTAGCCTTCAAGAAGTTCGGCTAAACAAGTTCTAAGACTTTGATGGACCATTAATAATACTTATTAACTAATCATAGTTAGGTGATAATTTGATATAAAAGACAAATTTGATACATTTATTACCTTAGGGATTTATGGCAATTGTCAAGTTCTAAGACTTTGATGGACCATTAATAATACTTATTAACTAATCATAGTTAGGTGATAATTTGATATAAAAGACAAATTTGATACATTTATTACCTTAGGGATTTATGGCAATTGTCAAGTTCTAAGACTTTGATGGACCATTAATAATACTTATTAACTAATCATAGTTAGGTGATAATTTGATATAAAAGACAAATTTGATACATTTATTACCTTAGGGATTTATGGCAATTGTCAAGTTCTAAGACTTTGATGGACCATTAATAATACTTATTAACTAATCATAGTTAGGTGATAATTTGATATAAAAGACAAATTTGATACATTTATTACCTTAGGGATTTATGGCAATTGTCAAGTTCTAAGACTTTGATGGACCATTAATAATACTTATTAACTAATCATAGTTAGGTGATAATTTGATATAAAAGACAAATTTGATACATTTATTACCTTAGGGATTTATGGCAAAGCGATAATATGAGCTGGTTTTGCTAACTTCTGCATGGCTTTTCCTCTTTAATTTTCAATTTATACACAATGATAAAACAAAGTAAGGCGACGGAGACTCAGAATTGGAATCTCATACCAACTTGAGATCCAAACTAAACTCGGGATAATGTTGATTACAAGTCCAATGCCAACTACAGCTCGTTGATACTGCAACTCGCTCCTTTCATAATAGACATGGACATTTGGTTGCATCATCTTACTAAATTGGTCCAGACATTCTTATTATTGAGTGTGTGAACAAAGTCCCACATGAAAAGTTGAAAGGAAAAAGATTCTACTTATAAGGAGTTGGATACTCTTAATGGTGTAAGACATTTTGGGGAAAACCGCACAGGTTTGACCAGAGACGGATTCAGTGTGAGAGTTACGGGTTCAATTGAACCCATAACTTTCGATGCAAAGTAGAAATTTATGTGTAAAAATCCATTAAAATTACAAAAATAATAGATTTGAACCCATAACTTTTAATATATAATGGATTGAACCCATAACTTTCGATGCAAAGTAGAAATTTATGTGTAAAAATCCATTAAAATTACAAAAATAATAGATTTGAACCCATAACTTTTAATATATAATGGATTGAACCCATAACTTTCGATGCAAAGTAGAAATTTATGTGTAAAAATCCATTAAAATTACAAAAATAATAGATTTGAACCCATAACTTTTAATATATAATGGATTGAACCCATAACTTTCGATGCAAAGTAGAAATTTATGTGTAAAAATCCATTAAAATTACAAAAATAATAGATTTGAACCCATAACTTTTAATATATAATGGGTTCAATATTAAAAATCTTAAAAATTGAACCCACATAATTTATAAATCCTGAATCCGCCTCTGGGCTTGACCCAAAGTGAACAATATCACATCATGTTAAGAGTATTTTTGGGCCGTTTTAACGCAACGCTTATCTCTATTCATTGCAAATAAAACACTAGCTACACTAGCAGGCGGCTACGATATCCCCATCTTTAATTTTACAGAATTAAAATTGCCTTGTGATTAGCAGAGGTTTGCTGTGAATGTTACTACTTAGGGGTCGTTTGGTAGGAGGTGATACAAGAAATAATGCAAGCATTAATTCTATGCATTACTAGCTAATACCTTGTTTGGTTTTTCAACCTGTGTATAACTAATACTTGTATTAGTTATAAATCATACTTGGTATTATCCTATGTATAAGTAATGCATAGAAAATCATGGCATTAGTAATACCAAGGCTATTAAAGCTTGCATTAGTATGGTTAAAAATAAAATTATCCTTAAAGTCCCTTAAAGCTTGAGAATATGGAGGGAATTTTTGTAAACAACTATTTTTAAAAAAAATATTATGCAATGCATTATAATTTTAATACATCACACCAAACAGTAGATAATAAACATATGCATTACTAATACACCTTATTCCGCACTATTCTTATACACCCTACCAAACGACCCTTACTACTATACTACTAATCAAAAGATACGATGCCCTCATTTTGCAATCAGAAGCGAATCAAGGATGTGAACATTGTGGGTCGAGTTTGAAATTCTGACACAAGGAATTTGATTTACTGGGTTCGAAATTTATACTTGCGTAATAAAATTATTTTTCAAATATAAGATTACGTGATGAAATTGTTTTTCACATATATGATAGGGTCCGAGCTAAAACCACTGGATTTGGATAAACACATATGATGTATGCTAGATTGCCCCGGTTGGCAATTGACATTCAAATCGAATAGACTCTCACACAATGAAAAAGTATAGAGTAATTTCATGTATGATAATTGAACTTTATCCACTGTAACAATAAAGAGAAAACTATTTTTCATAACATTAAAGTAACGGAACTCGCTATAACAAAAAGTCCACTAAAATTTATGTATGACTGTAAAGTTATAAAATTATTTTTGTCGCATTAAAATTATTTTGAGAGATGAAAGAGGGTGACAGAAAAAAGAGAAGCTTGCTCAATTTGTTAGAGCGAAAGTTGGAACTTTACGACATAACATAAGACGTACAAATCACACACACACACACACAAAAAAAAAGAAGATAAAATATAAAACCCTTTCCAGTAAATTCAACATATAATTGGCAATGTTTTCTTGAAATGTTCTGGTCTCTCTGTCATTCAAACTTCCTTGCTTCTTGAATTTTCCTCAGCACTGAACTTTGGTTTTTATCTATCTCTAGTCACTGAACTTTTTCATGGGAATTGGACCATAGTACTAAGAATGCAAAAACATCACCTCACATAATGACAGAGAAAAAAATGAGAAATGTTTGATATAAACAGTAATTTGATATATTTTGATTTATTTTTCATTATTTCATAGTACATAATAAAAAGTGGATTTCGCCATCGATTATACCTCTGAGCAGATAGTCTATACTATAGCATTGTAGTAAGTGCCCCCTGGTTTCTATTAGCACGAAGGAAAAATGGTCAGAAATTAGTTTTAGGTCATTTTCAGGATAAGTAGTTACATAAGAGAGCACAAGGGTAGTTGACTAACTTCTCACCATTTTCTAATTTACCAGCTTCACAAATTGCAGTTATATTGTAAATAACTCCACAAATTATCACCTTGAACAAACTTCAATTTACCTGCAAATCACTTGTTCTATACATGTTTTCTATTTTTACTAACTACTCCTCACACAAGAAATCAATCAACATGGAAACCAGCTCAAAAATTAGTCAGAAATGGATGATATGTGCATTTGGTAGTTTCATTAGCTGCTTCATTTTCTTGATATGTCTTAAGCATAATGAGGCAGGTTATTTCAAGGCACTGCGACATTGCATGTTCAACGTGGAATCGTGCTTTTCGCCTACTGGAAATTTGGAAATGTCTAAACCAGCAAAAAGCAGAGAAGATGAAGGGAATATAATTCAGAAAAACAGCAAGAATAAATGCAATATATTTGAGGGAAGATGGGTTTATAAACCAAAGGAGAGTCCATATTATGAAGCACAACAATGTCCATTCCTTAGTGAACAAGTGAGCTGCCAGAAGAATGGAAGGCCTGATTTTGACTATCAAAATTGGTCTTGGGAAGCTCATCACTGTATCATTCCAAGGTAGAAAAATTATTCATTTGTTTTCTTGTTTGTTGTTTCTGTAACTTATATACACTGACAATGTAGCCTGAGCCGAGAGTCTCTTGGAGACAGTCTTTTTACCTACACAATGTAGGGGTAAGATTAACGTACACACTACCCTCCCAGACCCCATATGTAGGAATATATAGAGTATATTGTTGTTTGTTACTACACTAACAGTGTGAAGATTTTTTGCGCTATCACTGTGTAGAAGTTAAACTCTTTTTTCTTTTGATATAAAAAGATGAGTGGTTCTTTTGCAGCTTGAATGGCATATATATATTGGAGAGGCTTAGAGGAAAGAGGGTAATAATAGTTGGAGATTCACTAAACAGAAACCAGTGGGAATCTCTTGCTTGTCTTCTTTATTCTACAATTCCTCCTTCGAGAGCCCATGTTGATGTTAAGAGTGGCTCTTATAAAATCTTCAAAGCTAAGGTAAATCAACTCAGACTTCGTTGTTTCATTACAAGTAACCTCTTAGTGTAATTTTGGACGTCTAATTGTACAATACTTGTGAATTTAGGTCACACTTTCTTATGTTCATACCAAAAAACAATAATTTTCTGCTTTTCTAGGACTACAATGTGACTGTAGAGTTCTACTGGAGCCCATTCCTGGTTCAGTTGGAATCAAACAAACCTGGTGCTCCTAAAATTTTGAGGCTGGAGAAACTCGATTTATCGTCTAGGCTTTGGCAAGGAGCTGATATTATGGTATTCAACACAGGCCATTGGTGGGTGCATCTTGGAAAGTTGAAGGCGTAAGTCACTAAAGAATTTTCTTTTAAAGTTTATGAGTTTAACATCTCTACGGTGATAAAAAATTTTCACACTATCAGGTCACTTAGAAAATAGTTGTAATAGAAAAAGTGAGACTATAGTTACTTGAAAAAAATAAAACAGGTTATCTGATGAAACAGGTACAAAATAAATATATTTTCCATGCAGGTGGGACTTTTTCGAGTACAAGGGACTATTAGTTAATGAGCTGAAGTTAGAATCAGCATTTGAGGTGGCAATGAGGACCTGGGCAGACTGGATAGATCAGAATGTTAACTTAACCAAAACAACAGTTTTCTTCAGAAGCATTTCTCCAGAACACAAAGCTCAAAATGGGTGTTACAATAAAACACAACCCATCACAGACAAGTCCCACGTAACACATTTTTCCGAGTCCCTGACGGCGATTGTTGAAAGAACATTGTCAAAAATGAGAATCTCTGTAAGATACTTAAACATTACAAAGCTTTCAGAGCACCGCGTAGATGCTCATCCATCAGTCTATGCCAAAAAGAAAGGAAAAGAATTGGTGAAGAGGAAAGTAAAGCCACCGGAGAGTTTTGCTGACTGCAGCCATTGGTGCCTACCTGGACTGCCTGATACATGGAATAGGTTACTATATGCTTCTCTGGTTTTGGATCACTCCACTGATACCCATAGTCTATCGCATTTGATCTCTTGAAAATCAGATATTGACTAATCAGTAAGCTATATATTAGTTGCTATATCAGCATTGAAGTGAGCATATATAGGAGTAATTGTAACTTTTATGTTGAAGTGTCCTGCAGAGAAAACATTTGATTATTGTGCACATTTACCTAGTTCTAAAATGTAGAGGAAAACCTTGACTAACTATTTAGTTGGCCAAGTCCACATGATTCCAGAAGAGAAACTACAGGCTTCCAGAAATGACCAATTCATGGAAATCAATTCTTGCAGCAACTCTTTAACAATATGATATTTGGAATGTTCGAGCAGGTCCACAAGACTACTACTCGGTTGGGTTGAGACCTTAAAAAATAGGGTTACATAATAGAAAAACTACTGTATATAGGCATATGAATCACAACATACCCTTCCAACTCTGTGCGTTATGGCAAAGAACAGGAAGATATCAAAAGGAGAAATTAATCCATTTACTACAAAGAGTGCCTCCACTGTGGAGGCTCCACATATTGACATCCAATCCAACCTAGTAGTAAGCAATCCAACAAAAGCAACCAAAATATTCCTTGGTGAATCGGCCAAAGACTTTAACTACGTACATATTTTTAAGAAAGGGTAAAGCCAACAGACATGAAAATTCTGAGGACAGATTCAGTACTTAAAAAAGTATTCATACATCTTAGTAATTTATAAGAATGCCAAGATTGGATACAAGATGGCCATACCTCAGATATAGGTTGCCAAGATTGGATACAAGATGGCCATACCTCAGATATAGGTTGGTTTCTTCAAGGTACCACTACACATTATTTACTGGTTACACTACTAGAGGAACGGATTATAGATACCTTATATAATTTTATAAAGCAATTAATGGGCTTATAATATCAATAATTGGTGCATCATCTCTCAATATTTGTTTCTCAAGGACGCCATGCAGTGATTGGAAAAGCAACAATACTATTTACACATCATCATAACTACAGAATCTCCCACTCAGATTCAGGATGATCATTAGCAGATAACTTCTTAGTGTTTGAATTCATGGCAAGAACAGGCATCACCTTGTCTTCAGCTTCTTGGTTAAACTGTTGATCTCCATATAGTGCTCCAAGTTGTTCATACTCTTTCCTTGTCAACCTCTTTCTCGTGGAGAATGCCTCCCGAAGCTTCTTCTGAGAAAATATGACAAAACAGTCAACAAAGATCTAAAAGACACATTCAAACAAGATTCAGGCCCCCATTCCTGCCCATCCTAAAACAGNGGGGTTGGAACAACCTTGTACGACTTCTGTTTGACTGGGCCCTTCGGAACATGAATCCCGTCCCCTTCAACCATGACACATGTTTCCTCCAACTGGGATTCGTCAAATTTCTCAACAAATTCCACTTCCGATTCATTAATGTCATACTTGGACATAGCAGAAGACAAATTATCTGACCTTTCTGCAAAAAGAGAGCACAATGTGTCATAGAAATAGATTTGAGAAAATGATAATCCTAGAGACAATGAAGTAATCTAAAAAGCAGACACATGCTGGTCAGTCTCGCGAACATCCCTTTGATTCATTTCATCTTAAGTGGATAGAATAGACGGAGGAAGACAATCTAAGGACCTTCTAAATTTTCTTTGATAGAACGAGTCATGCGAAAGGGAAGTACATTTGTTTGCTGGGACGGAGGAAGAGTGATACAGACAAGTTTACTCCAAATTCCCAAAGAAAAAATTAGGTGAAGTGCAACTGTTAATCCTACAGTGTCTGACAAAACATTAATGGTATATAGCACATACTGAATCCCTATTTTCAGGAGCATGATTGAGCATCTGCCCTCCTGCAGAACACATGACTGTGCACTGCAGAGGTATTATCAGTGTGTGGCCTTACTGAGAGGAACCAACTTTTGATAGCTGATTTAACTCCTACACTTGTGCTTGTCTTAGTTCATTCAGATGCTTTATCCAATATAGCGAAACATACGCTCAGCTGTGACTCATTATTACAATCCACTGTATATTTTCTACTATAATAACATGATTTTGGGTAATTAGTTATAACATCTAATGATTTAGCACTTGGTATATAGTTTTTAAGTAGTGCACAGCATTCAGTGTTACACGGAAAAATGGGAACAGAGAGAGAGGGAGAAATCTTTCTTCGTTTTCATTAATAACTGGAATGTGTCAATACCTTCATGAGACCCATTGATCTTCGCAGTAGCTAACTCATTGTTCCGAACATTAGTGCTAATTTCAGTTGTTGTATTACAAGCCAACTCCTTTGTACATGTATCTGTTGCCAATGTAGAAGTTAAAGAGAGCAAATAAAAAGTGAAGAAAACAGCCAGACAATGTACTACAAGAGTCTGGTGAAAAAGCCACCAACTGAGATAGAACTGGAACCTGCTGGCTTCTTCCCAACGGATTCAACTGACGTCTTGACAGAAGCCGAAGAATTAGTTGAAGTACCAGCTGCTGGCACATTAGTTTCTATAGTGTGGTCACAAATTTTACTTGCCGTTTCTCCATAGTCAGATCCTTTAACCGAGGCCAGAGCTGAAGTCAGAGTTACATGGTCAGATGCCATTTCAAAACCACCTCTAACCTCAGCACTTGAAGATAATTTTATTGCATCCCCTGATGCAAGATAGATAGCATCAGATTTCTTAGTTGGATAGCTGTCTCTAACAATTTCTTTGATTCCACCATTTTGACGTTTATAGACTCCTCCGCTTTTGTTTTTCCCTGAGATCTCAGGAAAAATAATATTAGCAGATCTGTCGGACAAAGGATATTTAAATAGTAAATGATGAATAATCAGCATTTGTTTTGTACCCTTGATCACTTGAGTGTCATCATTTAATTTGTTACTGAATCCTCTAGTGCTTCTCTTAAGGTTTGCTTTCAGCTTCTTGTCAATTTCATAGTGAGCATAAGGGTTCAGAGACAAGTCAGCAGCTGCGACTTTCACAGGATCAATGTTATATTGAGGTTGAACATCTTGCAGCACCTCTGAATAGAATCTCTTGACATTCGTACCAACAGTGTTCACCTGATTTTCGACATATTTAACAGTGTCCTGTAATTTATCACAGTCTCAGTTATGCTGATTATAACCCATTTGGTCAAAACTTAGCAGGGTCAATAGCAGATAGTACAATTTCAGTATCCTTTAATATATCCAGCGACGTTATTGATCAAAATTGACAGACAACAGCCAAAATAGCAACATGCAGGATCCAGAATTTCAGCTATAAGCAAATTAACTCAAGGAAGTACCAGGAAACAAGTAATATCGAACATATGTAATAATTAAATAGGGAATAGAAAACTGAAAGAGTGTAGTTCACCTGGTACATAGCCTCTTCCATCTCCAAACACATAGTTTCGAACTTTTGGTATATGTTTCCAACCCATGATATAGCTTTCAAGTCCATTGCAGAACAGGTTGTCAACTTTCCAGGGATTCTATCAAGTTAGTTCGGCAAGGTTCTATAGCTTCCCAACTGCAGAAATTTCAGACAAGTTGTTGCACTATTACAATGGACTTTCTTACGAGTTCCACAAAATTATAAAATTCTCTTGAGCTAAGTCAGGCACCAATTTCAACCTGTTTCAAGAACAATGAATTTGTTAATCAATGATGACTAATTTAAGCTGACTCAATTGCCCTCTTTCTTAACGAGACACCAAATGTTATTACCAAAACAAATAATGAAATGTAGTACTCCTATTTAATATGGTAAGCCTCCTAGTTATTAGGAGGAAACAAGAATTAAGACAATAAAGAAGCTTTCTAACAGATATATTTATTTTAGTATCAAACTTACTTGCTAATGACTTCACACTAAAAGCATGACAATCCCTCACAATTTTTCTCTTAAAGACAGAGATTTCTATTAGCACTTCCTTCCAAGGAAAATCACACCCTTTCTCTCCGCTAATCTTTCTCAACATGTTAAGAATGCAACATTAGGATTAGGTAAGAACAGTAATAAGACCAGAATCTATCTCCTATAATTGATTGTTTGGCCACTCAAAATTAAAGTATCAATGAGCCACCCCATCTAAATCACCAGGAAGAACAAAATCAAATTCCCAACTGTAAACAAGAATACAACTGAACATCAATCTCCACCGTAAAGTTCACGTTTTCCATACACTCATAGGATCAAATTTTCAATATTAGCAAAAATTACATACATCATGCATTTGAATCACCAGAGAAGTAGAAATTATTCTAATAAAAAAATTCAACTATATCAGAAAATTAAAATAGCATAAGCCCCTTCATTCATTATTTTTCTTTTCATCTGGTGATAGAGACATGTTGAAAACATTAGCTGGAGTAGGAAGATCGACAAATTAACAAATCGACTCACATTGAAACATCTAAGATAGAAGGTATACAATAGGTCCTAAAGGTCTAACCATCTAATAGCTATCTCATAAGCTCATCTGTTAAGCATTACCCATATTCCGACATTCAAAAACTTACTGCAGTTTCACAGATCCAACAGCAAACCAAACTCCTCATAGAAACAGAGAAGGGAACAGTATAATGTTACAGCCAATTGCACCAAAGGGGTTACTTAGCAGATTGGCTTCTCAATGCCTTCAGTATATAAAACTCAGAACTGCTCTAAAGATTTCTTTTTTGTTGCCTTAAGAAAAATACTCTTAACATACTAGTATGGGTAAAATTTATGGAACATGTTTTTCATATAATAAAATGAACCTTTTTGGCAATAGAATATCTGCAGAACTCAAGATTCCAAAGCCATTTTGGTCATCCAAAGTCAAGAGGGTTTAAGAGCTTCCTTATTAGCCAAACTAGGCTAATACCAAGTTTCCAAGAAAAGCATTCCAAACACCTAAGAAAACAATCACACACAAAGGAAAAGAAAGCAAGCTACTTTACCTAAACCCCACAATTTCAATATCCAAAACAGCTGCATCCGTCCATTTATAAGATAAGCATAAGCAAAAAAAAATCACAGCAATCCTCAGCATAGACAAAAAGAAACTATTTTTTCACACAATTTCTTCAGGAAAAAAATCATCTTTACCATGATCAAGAAGCACAGCCCAGAAAGGAGAAAGCTTTACTAATTAAAAACAGAAATGCAATAAAGAGGGGGTCTTTATCAACAAAAAAAAATGGAAAGACAAAAAGGGGGTTGTGGTAAACAAAGAAAAATGACTAGTAGAGTTGAAGTAGAGGAACTTACGTAGTAGCAAGAAGCAGAAAGGGCAAGCCACCAACAATTATTTCAGCGGAATACAAAAAGAATCAAGCTTTTACAAGAAAGGGATTCTGAACAAAAAGTAGAAAATACGAAGTGGGACAGAGAAACGGAGTGGGTAAGATAGTTTTCTTGAATAGGAAAATTCTGAAACGTACAGAGAGAGAGATGAGAGAGAGAGAGAGAGATGAGAGTTGAGACGGAGTTCACCTAGCTTTCTTCTACATGGATTCTTGACACGTGTGCAAGAAATGAAAATGAATGACACTTCTATATCTAAAAATAATTTATTCATAAAAAAAATTAATGAATTTTTTTTTATAGTTATGCAACTATTATAACAGGTTTTTTAGCCACAAATTGTAAAAGTTTCATATACATACAAATGTTAATGTATATATAGAACGACTAATGTGAAATGTTAATTTTTCTTTCATTATATCGTATAAATAAAAATGGAAGGTCTATTATATATCTCTTGATTAATATATAATATAATAGTATTTTTGTAAAAAAATGTTGAAGTAAATTTGACAGAAAATATCTCATCATTTTCAAAACTCAAGTAGTTTAAAAAACTGAAAAGATTGACTATCAAACATTTCGAAACGCTCTATAAAATATAAATAGTGGAAGGAGAATTTTTTTCCTGAATTTGTATTGATTTAATAAAGAAACAAGAAAGCAAAAGGGTCATCCTGCTGGTTAATCCAATACAAATCGATTTCTTTCACTCTACAAAGTTCTTTTGAAGCATTTCTTGCAAAACAGAAAATTTATTAACATAATATTTGTATTCATACCCACTTTTTTTTTTGGGGGGGGGGGGGGGGGGGAGGGATCCTTACATACAATTACAAAAGCCTACAGAGGTTCTCTATGCCGAAAACAGATGAACGGAAGGATGTACATGTGATGAAACCCGAGAGCTCGGTCCATTCTCGAAAGTCCATCTCCAGTATCAACATCCTCGAGTGCCGCCCCCCTCGAGCACGGATCCTCGAGGGCGATTCCTTTGACCGCCGCCTCCTCTAGGTTCCCAGCTCAATCCCCTAGGGAGTCCCTACCGGGGGAAAAGATGAAGAATAGGAAAATGAGGGGATGCAGAGGAGACAGAGAAAAGAGACATGGCCCACCAAAGCCAAAGGTTGAAGATTCGGAGGGCCCTAGCCTAAACGACCGGTAGTGCCACTGTATCCCATGGGAAAAGAAAAACCCAAGGGATGAAGTGCCACATCAGGCCCGGGTAGGAGAGTAAGTAGTGGTGCATAGTCCAAATGACTGTCTACAAAATGGGAAGACCGAATCCCCATCCGTCATAGTCTCAGGCCAACGATAACAGCAACAACAAACATAACAATGACCATAGCAGCGGGACAACATGATCGTGCTAAACAAAGAGAAGCTCCGGCAACAGACCACTACACAGCCTGTGGGAGCTCTGCCGAACGTCCTTGAGGACATGAGACCCAAACATGATGTTCAAGTATGGAGGAAGATGATAAGAAGAAATGGGCAAATAAGCCAACGGAGGTACTGACCAAAGGCACCCCCATTTATAAGGGGTAATGACACGGTCATCGAGGCTTTGGGAGACTAACCGACGGATGCAATTATTGTGCTCTTGAGGAACCGAATCGACGGCGGTACACTCACCTTGGAGAACGGGAATCAACAGCACATTAAATAATGTCAAATGCACAAGTCCATGGGGCACCCCGATTTCCAAAAATGTTTGCGCCACAAGTTGCATCATTGGTGTGGCATCGCCATAAGAAACTCGAGGAGTCAAGTGTCAAAATCATTTCACATTGCTTCATTTTGGGAAACGCGAAGACTATCTGTATGCGGCGAAATCAGATGACTTGATTTCTCGC